TATAATAAATGTTATCTCTACACACTATACAATATACACATTTCAAGTTAAAGTTCTAATAAATTAAAATACTTTGTCTAATAAGATACTAAGAACACTATCAGAACGTGCTATTTAAAAAGTCAGTAATCAACTTGTTTTTCAGATAAAGTTTACAATGTTTTCACGATGAACTCTACTTCCTTGCTTTCAGACCATTACGATTACAATTTCATGATATATTTTTTTACACATGTATCAATTGGCGTGTAGTTATCACCCTTGGGAAGGGGAGACTCCTTTAATAGAAAGGACTGGGGTGCACGTCGCGCCTTTTAGGGGTTAAAAAAGGTGGGTTTGAAGGCTCTTGGGCTGTTAAGTCTCAAAAGGTCCACAGCAGCAACTTTTGTGATACCTTTTAGGGTACTGCACCAAAAATATGTGACAGCTAGTGCGTTGTTGTAGAATTGGTGTCTCTCAGGGATGAAAAAAATTTTCTGCCACGCTCCACAAACCAGGACCTTAGTACCTCTTAGTCTTTCTTTTTAGAACCACTGCGTACCCTGAATGGTCAACACTCATAACAGCACGTCTACCTGTAGCCCGACTTACGATCTTGGATCGTCTTGTTAAATTTAATTTACCTATCAGCTATGACTAAATGGATGGTTACTATTACAACTGCTTCGAGAGAATACAGGTACCAAAATACAGATAAACTGTATTCTGGATTGATCAAACCCTTCCCATTTTCAAAATCGGAAAAGGAAAGAAGAAAGGAGAAAAAGGTATGAATTTGAAGAATACATTATAAAAAACCCTACTTGACCCCCTGGAGTGGATTATTTGATTTTGTCTTTCACTTGAAGAGAGAAGCACAATATGTTGCGCTTAGTAAGCAAATGTAATGAATTTGCGACTGAGAATTTGTTATTTTAGTGGTTCCAATTTCTTGATCTCAGGATTTCAAGGAAAACAGCACTGTAAGGAAGAGGCACAGCGGGTTTCATGAATTTTTTTTTCCCCAAGAAAAATGTTTACAACGTAATATTCTATTGTTTTGTTCGTCTGGTATTTACACGCATGTCAGTATTTGTCCACTGTTCATCAGTTGCTTGGTTCTCATTTCTTTATTTCATTGATTAAAATTAATTGATTACCAAAAACCCGAGATTGTCGTGTGCATTTTTCCGACAACCTTTCTGCAAACAGCTGTATTTGTAGTGCATGCTATGATTTATAGGGGGATTCTCAAAAAGTGTTTCATCTGGCAAATTGAGGCAAGAAGAGCACTTTGAGATATGAGTTGTATCTTGCAAATGATTCAATGATCAATAACATTCTATTTGAATTACTTTTGCAAAAATATCCAAAATGTTTTGGTGAAAGGTTCAGACTTGACCTCTGATCAAATTGGGAAATTGGCTGGGCATATTCAAAATGTGGTCGTACTGTGTCCAATGACCAACAATTATCAAGTGTATTATTGCGGTAGTGTGAAATGAAGAGGTATTAAAACAATCTGCTATCTTTTACATCGATGGGACAGTTTTTATTTCCAGTATGGTTTTTGGTAGTCTCTTGCCGTGCAAGGTAGCAGTTATCTAAACTAGGCACATTTGTTTTGTACCAAATGTGTTTTATATATATAACGAAAAACGCATTAATGAACAGTTTACGCGTTATTGACCGAGTGTAGGGTCAAGATGGCTGGATATTGGCAAGTTCTCCTTTTTGCGTTTTTATGGGCCAAGACGAAGTCGAGGTCCACGAAAACGCAAAAAAAAGTGAACGAGGTAATTGAAGGATTTATAAATGAGCAAAAAGGTTTCGCTTTAATAAGAATCAAGAATGCCTTGTTTATTCCCAGAGCTGGGAGACAAAGCCAACTGTGTTAACGGCAGAATAAATCCATGAGGGTCGTTTAGTGTGTTTTCTATATTTTGAGAGTCTTCTGCCCCCTTTTGCGACTTTATCACCGACATTCTTCAAAAGTTACGAACTTTTTGAGTCCGCTCCATATAACTTTTTTTTTTTGTGTGTGGGATCAAAGCGAGCAATGCTGAGCGGGCATGATGGGCCTATCTTGCCCGCTCGGGATTCCCTTGAGAACACAGGATATCCTTCATATTGTCCACGGTGCTGCCAGCTACTACATAATAGATGATAATTTTTGGTTCTGGATCCTTATTTCCTCCATCCGTACAAGAAATAGACAATCAGACAATAATCGAGGGGAACGATGTGACTCTGACATGTCAGGCATCTGGAGACTGTCCACTAGAGGTGTTTTGGATCAAACCTGATGGTCAACGCACTACTACAAATGTCTTAACGATTACAAACATTACAAGAGGTGAAGCCGGGGAATACAGATGTGAGGCCACTAATAATTGTAAGAATGTTTCAAGGACAGCAAAAGTTGACGTGCAATGTGAGTATATATACTGTACATTAAAGTTAACATATACTAAAACTCAACAATCTTCTTACAAGTATGTCTCCCTTGAGTCATAAAAAGAAATTTGATTTAAAAGAAGCAGTTATGTCTCGTTTCAAAATGGCTTCAAGGATTTGTTGCGTATATTAAAAGGGAAAATTTTGCATAGCTCTATCTCTCTTACTCGTGAATACAAATGAAAATATGTCTGTAGAACTTTACGCCTCATTAAGAAAGGAAATCTCTTAAAAATGGCATTCAAGGAATATCGTGCCTTTTAAAACACTCTTACGCTTGCTTAAAACTGATTAATCTATGCATTTTAATTGAGAGATTGTTTTCGACTTAAAGACAAAAGTTATGATGTCGGATAACAAGGATGGACTGTTGTACCTGGAATTACCTCTCGTTAATATGTGAAGAGTGCAGATGCTGATTTCGGTTAGGTTGTCTTATGAAGCAAGCATTTGTTGTGCAATGCAGTTAAGCCCGCACATGTGGCGGTATTTTTGAAAACAGGTAGAGCCACGAAAATAAGGAGCAGGAATCCATGTGTATAACGGCAAATCCCAGACTTTGAAAAGTTTAAAAGAAATGTGAGGCTTAAAATTGAAAATGAATGCTGTTTGTAATTGAATTTTCCTTATTGTATTCATAATTTCCTCGACATAAACGCAATAGACAGAAAATTGAGTTGTGAAGAGCGCTAAAATTGCTTCTGAGTGTGGCAGAACACTTAATAAAAGTAAGATGCTGAGTTAATCTGCCTGTTAATTTTGATAATCAACATAACCGTAACAAAATTTGCGCGATGGTTTCTTTATTTGTAGTATTTACAATAGAACTCGAGAGCACCTGTAGTGTAGCTGAAACGTTATTGGGATAATAGAATCATATTTCTTTGGTAGGGTAACGATGCGAACTACCGTATATTCTAAACACACCCTAATTAGCAAATTAGATATTTAGGAAAGCAATACAATAGCGAGTTTTCAAAGACAACTCTTTAGTTGGGTAAAGACGAGTTAGGGGCAATGTACTCATTACCGATCTGAAACTGATCAAGATTTGGTTGATGGCAAAGTTCAAAACTAATAACAACCAGTTCAGTTTTATCAGTACCGCGGATTAATACGTGAACATATACACCTTATTCGATGCTTTAATTAACAATTGGTAAACACCACAGCGTACAGTATTGAGTTATGGATGCACGCGGGAGGTTGCTAAGCACGAAAGAAGCGTAAGAGTCGCTCGAGGCGATCACTTTCACGGGTTTATTACGAATCAACTTAACGGCCTGCTCCCAGTTGGCTTGTTAGCTCAATTGGTAGAGCGCTGCACTAGTATCGCAGAGGTCAGTGGTTCGAGTCCCGTACAGGCCTGATTTTTTTCAGGTCTGATTTTCGCTATTGCATAAATAGCGCTATCTACTGCGAGGATCGTGCATCATACGTATCTAATACCGCAGTTCAAAATATATGAACTTCATATATTCATTGTATCTCATTTATCACTTTCACGGGTTTATTACGAATCAACTTAACGGCCTGCTCCCAGTTGGCTTGTTAGCTCAATTGGTAGAGCGCTGCACTAGTATCGCAGAGGTCAGTGGTTCGAGTCCCGTACAGGCCTGATTTTTTTCAGGTCTGATTTTCGCTATTGCATAAATAGTGCTATCTACTGCGAGGATCGCACATCATACTTAACATAAATTATGAGCAATAAGCAAAATCTCCCCTTGTATAATGGTTCAAACAACGAATATTTCATTATTATTCGCTCTTAAGTTTTTTATTTTGGTTTGCGAAAGACATCCTGGGCCCCTTAACTGTGCATCGTATCGATCGTATAGGGAGAGAGCGAAGAACGAAAACAACACGAACGAAACCATTTAAGAGTTCGGCTCTGTTTCTGTCGCGCTTTAAAGTTCGTTTCTTTAGAAGGAACAAAGTTGGATTGTTCGGTACGACCATTTTGTTGCTCCGTATTTTTACTCCGTATTTTTACAAACTTTTGGTTAGTTAAATCATTCTAAAACGCAAGTAGACAAACGAATTTGTAACGAAGTTTTGACCATTTCATGAGAAACAACGAAAATTAATTCAATATACTTACGGACAGACAGTTCACCGCAAAAATGAGAGGAGCTCTCTCCTCAAAACTGTTTACAAAGTTATTTCTATTCCCAATTACCTTTCATCTTACATGAAACATGTAAGATTATGCGAATCATGCAGGGTGTCATGCTCTGACTCAAAAGATCTTTATGAGCAAAAGGCTCTCTACCCTCAACAATGGAAGGAGTGACAAAACAAAGAGACAAAACAAAAACATAAAGAAAAAGTATCCCTTCTATTTCTCTAAGGACTCCTTCCGGATTTGATGAGATTTGAGGCATAAAATGCTTGCTATCTTCAAATACAAGTTATGTGATTAATGTGGCTTTGCGAAACTATTTTTCAAGGAGGGGGGATGACTTTTTCAAGGTGAATTATTGTTAGATCGAACCGCTTTTTTGTACTTTTTGTGCATCAAGGCTCTTCATGGTTTTTGTAAAAAGACGGCTCTCCTTTAGGTTCAGAAAGCACAGAAGTTTACCTGACTGCGACAATAGAGGAGAGCTGTAGCAGACGTGCAGAAGTTGCTGCGAAATCTCCAGAAATGGTAAGATATCATATGATTGATCCGTTAATGGAGTTTATCGAATACTGCAAAGAGATTTATCATAAAAAGTGAATCTTAATCACTCTTTTCTTGAATGAAATCATAATATTTCTGCTGAAAGATTACATTTTTAATAACGTCCCTCAGTAATGTAACAATCATTGAAATATACATGTTTTCTTCACATGTTTTCTTCTAGGCTTGTCAAATTGCCTTTCGGTTTGGCTGCTCATCTGCCAACACTGTGAACACCAGGTAAGGAACACTTTTTTTTCTACAATGGACCAACAGCAGACGCAAATCTGTGTTCTCGGAGGGGGTAGCTTAATTTAGAAAATCTCATCGTTTAAACTGGTTTTCTTCCTCTAACAAGTCTTAATTAATACAAATAATCGACATTTGAAGAAAATTTTGCTTAATGTGCAGCAATAGATTAACGCAGTATTACATGAAATCTCTTTTATTTAGCTTGGTTTATAATATCAAAAATACCTTAAAATATTTCAACACCTTAGAGTCACCAAAGGACGAGATGATCAAATAAGTATTATAACATAACTAAAGCAAAGCGCGCGCTCTGATTGGTTAATTCAGCATCTACTATTTGTCCATGGATGTATGCTGCTGACGTGGGCAAATGCTTAGACTATTTTTCCGCGCGCGCTTGTTTTTTCTGATCGCGTAAGATTTGTTAAATAAAAGGGAATTCTTATTACAGTGTATCAATGTTATGTTATAAAACAAATGGTAAACACCACATCGTACAATATTGAGTTATGGATGCACTTGGGAGGTTTGCTAAGTACTCAAGAAGCTAGAGTCGCCGGCTATCACTTCGCACGACTCTTACGCTTCTTTCGTGCTTAGCTACCTCCCAAGTGCATCCATAACTAAATAGTGGATGCTGTTTTGTTTACCATTTGTTAAACGGTACTCATCGCCTCCCCTTTATCTAGGTGTGGCAGTGTTGTTCTCGACTTCATGATGAGGTTCAATCAAAGGGTAACCGTCAGTCATCTTTTGACCCTGCTATCAGATACTGCAAGGCAAGTCAAATTCGGAGTTTTGAAAGTCGATCCGGACTCAATGAAACAAATTTTTATACCCACAGACGGCTTGGAAAGCACAGGGAAGGGTAAATATTACAAAGAAATTGTGTACAAGTACTCTTCCGAAAACGGACATTTTGTAATTGTATTTCGTGGATCATTTTAAGCAAACAACTCATTTCTGTGAGGGATATATTTCTAGGTTGTTATTGTTGTTGTTTTTTTTGTTTTTAATTAACCAAAACATTGTTTTAAAAAATTTCTGTAGTAAAGTAGCGCCTTAGTTTTCCCCAATACCTAGCCAATCAGAATTGACGTTTTTTCGGTCACAACTTTAAGCCATGTAATGAGAGCAATATGTCAACCAGGATCAATTTAAATATCGTATGAATGTAACTTCATTAAGCTTTTAAAACGAATCATTTTAGGTCCTGAGGAATGTAAATGCCGATCTAACAACGTCTTGTTTGCCATAATTGGAGTTCTGAATTAATTCGTGAATTAATTGCTATCAGTATATATCGACTCCGGCCTGGCGAGTTACCCCACCTTGAGACGTTTACATGGTCATCTCACTCATCATGTAGACATGATCAACACTTTATCATATGACCCATCCGGCCCCGCTCGCGCAGTCCACTAGAACAACATGAAAGCTGACGTGTGTAGGGCCGAACGGGTTGAAGTAAGCCAGTTCGAAAAAAGCCGCCGCTTTATTGCAAAAACTTAAAATAAAAGAGAAATATGAAAAAAAAGTCGCGTTTTCAAAGAATTGGGAGTTTGTTGTTCTGACTTGAAAAAAATGACGGAAAAGCTCTCGGTATAAAACTATCTTTTATACTCGAGTGGCTGCGTGTGTCCGTCTATTGCATTTTACTTAGGCTGGAATTTTCAACACTTCGTGGTCATATCATAAAATACTTATTGACTGAGTTTGGCTCAAGGCCATGAGGCACGGACCGATCGCGGCGAATACGCCATGACGTCGAGCCAAATATTTTTCCGACCGGTCCTCCCAATCAGTCAATAAGTAGATATCATTACATCACTCGCAGCGCTCGTGGGCAAGATGAAGCGAATCCTGTGTTCTGATTGGCTACCCGAGCGGGCAAGATGGGCCCTTCTTGCCCGCTCGGGATTGCCCCTATTGATCCCGCGCTTGGAAAAGCTTGAATTAGAACTACGTTTGTAATTCTCGGACAATGTCGGCGATGGAAACGCAAAAAGCGGCAGAAGATAGTCAAAAGAACGAAAACAGAAACGATTCTTGTAAGTTTGTTGGGCTACAAACACAGCTGGCTTTCTTTCCCGGCTCTCGAATTAAACAAGTCATTCTTAGTTCTTGATATAGCGACTTTTTGCAATGTAATAAATCCTTTATTAACCAAGCTTGTTTGGTCAAGATGACTGGATATCTGCTTCGTTCTTTTTTCGCATTTTTATGAACCTCGACTTCGTCTCGGTCCATAGAAATGCAAAAAAAGGAACTCGGCCAGTATCCAGCCATCTTGACCTCACGCTTGGTTAATAACGCATATATGGATAGGCGGGATACCCCACCTGGGAGGGTTACCATTACTGGGGTTCCCCACCTCCATGAAAACACAGGCCCTTAGTTATTCTCTGAAAAAAGGTTGTAAACTGTTCATAATATTTTGCGCAAGAAAAACTTAAACGTCAGTCTGATGAAAATGGGTAAACTATTTTTTTAATGGCCAGATACGACTTTTTATTGAGATTGATAACAAATTTACATGCGAATACCTTAACGAGTACATGGATGGTTTAATAGAATGAAACAGGATTACAAGATATTGCACTAGGACAGCTGAATTCAGGAAAACTCACACAGCCTCCTGCAGAATACATAGATCTCAGAGAAGCAAGCAGAGATAACAGAAAATCACACAGTGCGCTCCAGGTGCCGATTACGCACCTTTTTATCCCTCAACACGCTCTTGGGAAGTTCCAAGATATCACGTGACCATAGAAAAGGTCATTGGTAAAGGTACTTTTGGACAGGTTGCCAGGGGAACAGTATTAAGACTTCGAGGGAGGCCTGAGACGACGCTATTAAGATGCTTAAATGTGAGCTCTTGTACTGTAAATTGAATTACAGTCTTGCCTTACAGTCAACCAGGAAATGTTGCCATGTTACCGTAATTTTTTGGCTATTTGCCATTTCATAACTAGTGTTTTCATTTAGGTTTCTCGTATACTGTATTATTCCCATTAACAAAAATTCTATTCTTTTTTTTTTTAACTCTAGCTAACACTGCTGAATCAGAAAAGAGAGATCTGATGAAAGAACTTGAAACAATGAAGCAGCTGAAACCACATCCTTACGTCATTAGACTTCTGGGTTGTGTTACGGAATCTGGTATGCTTTGGTTATGTGGGTCTGACTTCACAATTTCCTTTTGATTTACCTTGTAAGACTGTCTCTACTTTTTTTAAATTTATATTGACGCTTTAGGACTTATTGGTAGACCAAGACCGTTAATTTGCCTCTGAACTGACCATTCTGTTGTAGAAGCGAAAATGCTTTTTTTAAGGGAATAAATGGTCTGTTCCCTCTTATGAGGCAGTCCAGCTTTTCTTTTTAAAACTATATCTTGTTTTTTTGCGATTCCTTCAAGGGTATTTAACCATGATTGGACTATGCATCTATTTCATTTGTTATTCAGGTTTTCTAAAGAGTAATTTGTCATATAGTTTGTTTAATTTCTTCAGAGCCACTGCTGGTTTTGATTGAATATGTGCCTTTTGGGGATCTGCAGGGTTACCTGAGAAAGAGCCATGGATTAAATGACAGATACTTCAAAGACCCAAATATCAAACCATAAACAAATATGACGTCACAGCAGCTGATGAAGTTTGCCTGGCAAATTGCTGATGGAATGAGCTATTTGTCCTCAAAATCTGTATGTCAATTAAAACACGAAGGAAGAAACTTAATTCTAAAACATTTTTGTAAGGTGTATCGCGATGTGAAGCTGTGTCCTTCACATAATTTCATGTCTCTACAAGATCACGCCCGTAATATGCAAACATTTTCTTACCGTCTCGTAAAGGCTTTAATTTGCTTTGGGAGGACTCTACCTATCTTAATGCCATCATCTGAGTTTTATCCCAATGTTCAAATGGCGATATTTGTGCATCGTTCCTAAGGCACCCCATCAAATGGAAATTTCTAGGTTTCTTTAGTGTAGGCAAAGGAAGAGAAGGGAATGGAAAGGATTCCTTAAGATATTCATAACAAATATCCATTTTAATGTCAAGGAATAAAAGGAATCAATGCGACATTTCAAAAGTTTGTTGGCGGTCGCAAAAACTGCTTTACTACAGAATTCTATTTCCATTTAAATCTTAGTATATATTTGATAGAAATTTCCTTTTTTCCTATCTGCCATTTCATTTCAGTTCTTTTCTTCCGCATTCACTAGTTTTCGTTCACGCATCAATTCTTTCTTAGATCATCCATCGAGACTTTGCAGCCCGTAATGTGTTGGTTGGACATTAGGAGACGTGCAAAGTGACAGACTTTAGAATGGCCAGAGATGTGCAGGAGGAAAATATTTATGAACGAAAGACTAAGGTAATCAAGAACGAGGGGAGATGGGGGCCGTTCTACTCATTTACATATCGCTCCATCTAATGACCTTTCATAATCATTGTTGCTGTATAGCTGATATATTCCTGGTTTCGATCATAAAATCCTTGGGTGGGACTCTAACGAAAACGTAAACAAGTATAGCTTGAATTAAAAATACCTTTGGCTGGTCGCTTTCTATAATTTTTGAGCTATTCACAAAGTGGGGTTATAGGGCTCCCACACGCGCGAAGCGCGCGTGGGGCAGAGCCCCATACCCATGGATTATGGTCAACCTCTTTTCGTACGTACGTACGTGCCCTCTGTCATGTATGCTATCACGAAAGTACCACCATATGATCAAATTTGAAAATATGGTGTCAAAAAGGTCGACCCTCAAATTTTTCAGGTCAGATTTTTCGTTCATTTGCGATCGAGTTAGACCTTGTGGAACTCAGAATGTAAAGTAACAATGCTATAGAATACTCTGCTTGGAAAATAATGGATATTAAGGTCTTAAAGGTGACAGAATAAGCTCTCGAGTCAACGACACTACGATTCTCAAGGTGATGCCATTTACGGACGTAAAGTGAAAACGGAACTTTCGGAATTTAAGCAGGGCCTAGCGATAATTTGACGATTCGATGGCCCAGTAAATATTATGTTCGAGTAACAATGTGTTCAAAAAGTAATAAAGATTAAATAAATATTTAATAAAGATTTTGCGTCAAATCGAAGTTTTTTCAGAAAAGTAAACAAATTTTATTGCAAGATTTTCACATATTAGGAGCTCCGCTTTTAGGCTTTGCTAAATCTATATATTATCTGAAATCTTTAGGGCCGTCTTCCCGTGAAATATGAGGCCTTGTTGTATGGTAAATATACTACCAAAAGTGACGTGTAAGTATATCTGATAATTACCAATGGCGATTTTCCAACAAGATTTATCAATTTTAATCAGGACATGAATTTTATGCTTTGTGAAGGAATATATCTTAGTTGTCGTACATATATACTGTTAATGTTTTCAGTGTCTTGATATATATTCGTTTGATTTGTCTTTCCGCAGATGGAGTTATGGAGTTGTGTTTTACGAGATTTTCACCATAGGTATTCTCGAATGGGATCATTATCAAGCTGGGAACAGACCCTTATATAAACCTACCATGACATTTTATTCAAAACCCCCTTATGTAAATCGTCATCGTTACATAGCGACAATATAGAGGTTCAAATATAAAACCCCTGGATGTCAGGTACGGTTCTAACCTTGCCCAGATGTCAGGTACGGTTCTAACCGTGTCCAGATGTTGATATTGTTCGTTGTTTCTTACATCCATGGGTTTTAATCAATGTGTCTTACATGACAAGCTGTAGCCAGATGTTGCTACTTATCTTAGTATCTTACGGTCAGGGGTCTGTGTTGATCGTAACTCTTTACATACAGTGTGTATTCTGTGCCCAGATGTTGATATTGAACTTAAAATGTCCCATCCCTGTTAAACCTGTGCCCAGTTGTTTATTGCGATGGTAAAATGTTACATCTGGGGGTCTGCGCGCAGATGTTGATAACGATCGTCGATCGTGAAGGTTAGAACCTTACCTGAAATCCAGGGGTTTTATATTTTATGATAATGTAGAGCTGACTGATAGTCTGAAGATTCTTAGTGTCATTTTAGGTGAACGAATAACATTTAAGCCCTATATACAAGTACAAATTAAGAAGGCATGTGATAAGGCAGCTGCCATACGTAAGCTGCGTAACTTTATACCACAAGATGTTATGATTGGCCTTTACAAAGCATATGTACTACCCCACTTAAAGTATTGTAACCCACTCATGCTAGGAATAAGTAATGGACTCAAAAACAAGTTAGAGGACACTTATTGCTAAATCCTAAGGACTATCCTAGGGTATTCAAGCTCAGTGTTTTATGATTTTCTTCTTAATTTAGCTAAATTACAAAACTTAGAGACACGGAGGCAATTCCAGTCATTAGTTATTTTATATAAATGTTTAACAGGACAGGGACCGGAATATCTTAGTAACTTTTTTAACGTTTTAAATGTAAATTACAACCTAAGGGGGTCTGGCACAGGCCTTAAGCTGCCATTGTTCAACTTAGAATACATGCACAAGTCATGGTCATATTTAACTACTAAGCTTTGGAATGGTTTGCCTACTAGAATTAGGGAATGTCCGGACTTGGTTGCCTTTTGGTGCGCGTTGCATTCGTTTATGGCGAGGCTTTAACTCGATTTTTAACAACTTTCGCTTATTATTTAGATAGTACATACAAATTAGGTAATATATAGCTTTTCAATATTTTTATCTTTTGATATTAGTTCTTATTAGCTCATTATTTGTAATTAGTTTCACGTTCATGTTTTAAACGAGCTATTAGCTCTTAGGTGATA